GACGTGGTCGGGCGCTGTTCAAAATCTCTTGAAAGTGTTACATAGGGGAGAAAAATATGACAATTTAGGTGTTTAATGGCTTATTTATTCAATTTTTCGATCTACTAATATGTAGAAAATACATATACATTTTTCTTCCCAACAGGGGGGGGGGGGGGCGCGCGTGCCGGGGCCCAGCTCTCCCCGACCTTTTCTGACTAAAACTAAAAGATGGTAAAAACTTTCTACCTGCAATTCAATTTTAATTATTTTCAACTGACTCATTTTCTTCTTTAACTCAAATACAGAAAGTTTGGTTTTTAACAGTTTTTTTTTAATTGTTGGCTTGACTCTAACACTACCATAGCGCTTCTTCAACTTTAACAGAAGATATACACGCACACTTGCCCCTGCCTCAAATTTTTGTAACCCTTTAAAAATTGTTTAGTGGGAGCATAACCCCAGATCCCTAGGGGGAGAGGTATTTAGCTGTGGGATGAGATATCAGAAAAAAAAAAATTGCATGGCACAAACAGACAAGAGTAAAAGTTAAAGAATATTGTGTGAGGCAATAGCAGACTGAAGATGAAGATGATGAAATTAAACTCAATTCCTTTAGAATTCCTTTTGATTTAAAATTCCATAATTTGAATTGAATTTCCATTTCCCAATGACCCGACCCTGTAAGTAGTGTATGTTTGTGAAAAACGGGTGTAGATAATGTTCCAAATTTGTTCAAATTGTCCTAAATAGGTCAAAATACCCTGCTGTACTTCCCATGTGTAATTGAGTAAATACGAGATTGATTATAATTTTTTTTTTATTATCTTTCAACAGTGAGTGACTCGCCACAATTAGGCCAAATGAAATTAATTTGTTAGTTTCATGTTCCCACCCTCATCAAATTTTGGAGCCACATAAAAAGTAATTTATTATATTTTGTTATTTTCCCAAAAAAAAAAAAAAAATTTCCATAGAAAATAAAATGACGATCTAAAAGGTTGTTTGTCAAAGCGTAATAAGAGATCAAAACATAAATGGCAGAATGCATTACAATTAGGTTGTTAGTATATGATACTACACCTAAGTAGGAAATAGTAATACTCTCATCAAAAAATAATTTCTAATCTTGGACCTGAAACTAACGAATAATTTTATTTGGCCTTACAGGATGGAATCAACTTCAACTTCATTGTCTTTGATTGTTCTTTTCTGTATGTACAGTACACAAACACAATATGCTTACTACTGTAATACTGTTAGCAAGAGTAAAACAATTTTAATCGCCTTTCAAGAGGTATATACAGTATTATTAAAGAACTTAGCAGAATCCTCACATGTCAGGGAAGCTCATTACCTGGCCACCTAAAAATAAAAAAAATTGCCGGACCACCTTTCGTTTTTGGGTTCTTTTTCCAAATTTTTAACCCCCTCCTTTAAATTCTGGATCTTCCCCTGAGCCGGTCAAATTCAAGTTACAATATTGAGAAAATAAGTGAATAAAGAGTGGCTTTTGAACCTCAGCCACCACCTTAATGTGCTTCAGTGCATTTTGCAAATTTTTAACCCCCTCCTTTAAATTCTGGATCTTCCCCTGAGCCGGTCAAATTCAAGTTACAATATTGAGAAAATAAATGAATAAAGAGAGGCTTTTGAACCTCAGCCACCACCTTAATGTGCTTCAGTGCATTTTGTAGATTTTAAGACTTTAAAGTAAAAAATTCTATTAATCGGTAAAAACTGTTTGATACTATAATTTTAATTTTTTTTTTTTTTTCATAATCTTATGACACTATTAAAAGTAAGAGTAAAATAAGCAGTTAACTGATGATTTTATCTATTCTTTTTTTAGCCTATTTTTACCAGGCGTAATTGTTACTTACATTTGTGATAAAACTAAACCAAGTGCTCCCTAAACAATTTTTGTGAAGTTTTAGTTCTTGTAGTATTCACTACATGTCAATCTAATCACATAATTATGCACCCTCAACAAGCTTCAGAAAAGTGTTAATATTTGCTAAAAAGTCTGGCGGTGACTGATACTACATTTTCAAACCCCTGGCAGTCAGATTGTTAACAGTTGTGGAAGTGGTTGGCGTGACAGTTGTGGCTCGAACACTCAATTTTGAGATCAGGGATTTGAAACCCTTAGAAGCCGCTTGTGTCCTTAGGCAAGATAAATGTACGTTTGTCTCTCTCTACCCAGGAGTATGGGTGCCGGCATATGCTGGGAAGGTGAAACAGACTGTGGAAAACTCTTTAAGTGGAAAACTCTTAAATGCTGGCCTGAATTAATCATTTGGACGCTGATGGGTACAAAAAAACATCATCCAGGACAAGATGCCCTGTATGAGCGTCTATTGGCTTATTCTTTTTACAAATGTTTTCATTGGGGAGAGGGGGAAAACCCACCCAGTCCTTTCCCCCCGCCTTGGACTTGCAGCCCTTGTATTTTGCCATGCACCAAAGTACACTCTTGCCCTGCCTGTTGGGGGCGTTGCCCTACTGTCAAGGAAATCGTAGTGCCGCCACTGGATGGTATGTTTCAGATCCAATCAAGATCAAATAAAAATGATAGATTTATGAACATTTGTTAACTTGTGCAAGGAAAATTATTTTGTGTTCCAATTTTCAGTCAAATGCCAATTCACTTATTGAAATACCCAAAGAATGCGATTCCAATTATCTTTATTTTCAAGTTTAGATTTAGATGTAAATGACAGTATCTTCAAAACAAGAAGTATTAAAAGAAATAAGTTTATAATGTTCATACTTCTCGTTAAGTTGAAACAACAATATCTGAGAATGGTTGTTTTTGCGTTTTAACAGCTGATAAGGCATGCAGGAGATAATGGAGTTGGTTGCATTTACATCTCCCTGGTTGCATGTAGATGATCTTTTTGATGTCATCTGTTACAGACCACCCAATGATAAGCTAGTCTAATAAAGCTCTTATCAGCCAGTCATCAGCCAACCAGCTTCAAGAAGGTTCCAAAGGAGTGTATAAACTTTCATTATCATAAACAGTTTTATCTGAAGAATGTTACACTGTCAAGCATTCATAAAGATTTGGATAAACAGAGCAGTTTTGGTTACACTAATCGATTTGATTGATGGTGCAATGCTGTAGGCCCACTGACATGTTCCAATCCTTCAATCTCATTTGTACCTTTTTACCATCGATGTACAGGTAGTCAGTCCTCCTACTACAGTTCTGTTTAAACTATTTAGTCTCACACAGTAATAGAGGTAATTTAGTTTTACATTGCCTTACACAATTCGTCATCATTTCCACGAAGTGACACAAACTTCAAAAATCATATTTTTTCAATTTTTTTTTTCTTTGACATTTTTGATTATGTACATCAAACTTTTCATCTAATTTTTAAGAGTGGAACTACACTAATTAGCTAATTAAGCTAATTAGCCATTGCGCACAAACCAAGAAAAATGGATTTTTTGTTTTCACAAACAGACACAAACTTTCATTGGGTTATTAAAAGACGCGTGTGCACCGTTGCAATTGTGATCGCTAGGTAAGGCCTACAGTAGCTTGGCTAGGGCTAGATGTAAAAATTAGATTTCCCTAGCTTACCTAAAGTAGGCATACGGTACCCTTCTTGCAGTTTAACTTGGGATAGGTACATCAAATGTGGAATTATTCGTAAAAACATAATGATTAAAGCAGGATCAGCCGAGATTGCAGGCCTGTTTTCGCCCTTGACTACAATGGTTAACACATAGCTAAATACAGTTTGTGCAAGTTTGTGCCTTGACAACGGGTGCACGCACAGCGCATACCGTTTTCACAAAGAGACACAAACTTCACTCTACATGTAAACAGCATATGCTGTGTTTATTCTGATCGTTTTCACGAACAGACACAAACTTTTCACGCTAATTAACAGGGTGATTATAGTGAAGAAAAGAAAAATAAATTACACATTTAGATTGTTTAATGCTTTATCTTTAAACTTATGTAAACAAATATTCAAAATTCCGTTATCTTGATACTATGATAGTGAAGTTTATGGATTTGTGAAGTTGTCTAAAGTTTACTTTTGAGTTAAGCAAGGAATGTAGAAATATATGTCTAAAACTTACAATTGTTATGTAATGTGGATTGATAATCTACAAATCATTTTAGTTTGATTATTTTTTTCTTTGTATTCCCAGTTCAAATCTAAAGGAAAATTTGGAAATACAGTTTAAGCTTTTTATTATTTAAATATTTTATGTTAATATTCTATTATTGTTAGTAAAGTTTTGTAAATTATGTGCTATTAACTGTTCTTTACAAAATAGTGCTCTACAAATATGGAGTAAAACAGTATTATTTTTAGGATGAAACAATTTCATTCTTTTTGGGATTAAATCTTTAAATAAAGTGTAGTTTGATGTATAACCTTCAAATACTTTCCAAAACATATCGAACTCATTCATTAAGAATATGAAGATTATTGCATCTGTCAATTCCATTATGTGATGTGCCCATCACTTCAGACAAGTTACTCATCAATATATGATTACATAATTGAATCTAATTACTAAGTGTTTTTTAATAAGAACTAATTTGATTTCATGTTGATCTATTATTGACTGCAAATCTAAAGGAAGATGATGATGTAGCCATCTATTTTGCATCAAAACTAACCTACTTTACCACAAACTTTCTAAATGCGTTATGCGATTGTTTATCAACACGAGCGGCATGATGAGTAAATTCAACTCGGAATGGGTGGAAATGATCGGAGGAAAGGGTAAACGAGCAGGTCTTAACGTTAATTTTTGTGACATTGTTTGTGAATGCCTAAGTATTTCCCACCTTCAGTTGATTGTTAGAATTGCTCACAGGCATGGCAGGAAATCTGTCGAATTTGAGATAACGTGAGCAGATAGAGGCCGCAGTTAATGCATACTTAATACTATCTTGCCAGGAAATGTGAACCTCCACTTCAGTGCCCGCCAACCTGATAACTTCATCCAAAGTTTCTTAACTGTTTGCTTGTCTTCATTTTTAGTTCAGCGGCCTTGATGACGAGGGACAACAATTATAAGGGAAAATACTTGGGCACAGGAACTAACTTTCAAGATCACAGCAATTGTTAACACCAAGGAAGGTAACACTTAATTTTACGTTGTTTTCTGTGTCTTTGTGAAAAAGGAAAATAGATATGTTAATTAAGTTGACTGATCATTTATCATCTTCCCCCCCCATCCCCAATCAAACTCATCTTATTTGAATATCTATTTTATGAAAAACAGTGTGACATGTTTCCTCAAAACTGTGACATACTGTATGCAAGTTTTTGAGTAAAATCAATAATTGATTCATGAGATCTAACGTTGTTTGTGTGTTACAACAAACATTATTTTAATCTTTATAAAATATTGTTTTTGTTTTGTGTGTATTTGTGAAAAAAGAAAATATATTAAGTTGACTTATCGTTATCATCTTCCCCCTCCCAATCTGACAGCTATATAATTTTCTGATTATCAGGCTTAGCATGCGAATCAACCTCATCTTTATTTGGATATCTATTTTGTGAAACACAATGTGACTTGTTTCTTAAAAACTGTGGCATATGAAAGTTTTTGAGAAAATCAATAATAATTTGTGAGATCTAAACATTTTGTTTGTACGATTCAACAAACATTATTTTAATCTTTATCAAATATATCAATTTGAAGTTTAAAAAAAATGTTTAAGTCAATTGAGTTAACAGACAAAACAAACATTTTCATTACATGAATACTTAAAAACATACTTGAACACCATATAAAATAAAATGAAAATAATAATAATAATATTTAATTTTGCTTACAGTAATTTTGTTATTAACTATTACTTCACAATTTAATTTTCACGTTTTGAAAACTTTTGTATTTGATAGCGTTTGTATATAACATTAAGCTATTAAATGTGTGTTGACTTATTTTAATTTGTTAAGTAATAACTATAAAAAAGAAAAATGTTTTCAAGATAATTATAGTTGGTGTTAAGCTTTAAAAAACTTTGTGTATTTAAGTATTGTTAACTTAAAATTGGAGTAAAAAATTAAATTATGGTCCGTTAAATGATGCATAACATGCATAAAATAAACAGTAAATAATATCTCTTATAAGAGTAAATATTATTTCTTTTGGTCGGTAGATACCAGAACTGTTTTTGTCATTGAAATTTAATAACATTTGATACTTTTAGACTTTGTGTATTTAAAGTATTTGTTATTAACTTAAGATTAATTGGAATTTAAAATCAAAATCTGGTCAATTAAAGGATGCATAACAGTGAATAACACACCTTTTGGCCGGTATCAAATCTAATTCTTATGTATTTTTGTCCTTTTATTAATTAAAATATTTACTGTATTAATCTTCTTAAAAATTCAAAATATAATCATACTTTAAGTAAAATAATTGTATTGTTATATGTATATCAAATCTAGTTATTATGTATATTAGTCCTTTTTATTAATTATAATGTATACTATATCAATCTTCATATAAAAATTCAAAATAAAATCTTACTTAAAATCATAGGTAAAATTATTATATTTTTCTATGTATAATCAAATTTAATTATTATGTATTTAAACATAGCATAAATTCATTTAAATATTGTAAAAAAAATTAAAAAATATTTCTTTTTGCCAAAATAATTGTTACTGTAGATTCATATTTATTTCATGGACCATTTGTTATAACATAATTTTTATGAAAATGTTATCCATGTAAAATATGTTTGTAAATAAATAAATAGATACCTGAACTATTTTTATCATTGAAATATAACATTTGATACTTTTAAATAAGCTATTCAATTGAATTGAATTTTTGGCATTTTTTTCCCCATATTTTTATTGAGAGTTGATATAATTTCAAGGAAAGACTATATTTGTTTCATCAAGATAATTAACAGAGTTCATCAAGATAAACATAGGTTCATCTGCATAATTAACACAGTTCATTTCAAAGCTGATGTTAATTTGATCAATTACTGTATCTTTGTAATAATTAAAAGTGACATACAGCAGAAACAAATAATTTGTAATGTTACATGGCTAATCTGTATACAGTATTTGTATGTGAACTATACGTATTTAACTACATATCAATAATAATCATAAAGACTTAAGTGGTTGCAGTTATGAAGATGAACATGGTTGGTTGGAGCGCAGTGGTGTAT